TGGTACTTTGCTACCAAAAAGAAAGAAAAAAAAATCTGGTTTTGCCAAAGTGACATTTTCTGACCCAAGAAAACATTTTGTCAAAAAGCTTCCCAACCACTCTGCTGGGAATGTGCTCTTTGCCATCAGTCCCCAAGGCTGGAGCGCCGGGGTGTTGAAATGTTACTGCAGCCCTGGAAACTGTGAGTCAGCTTGTCCCCACCCACAGCAGATACTCGTGGGAAGGGCCTTGAAAAGCCTGGAAACTCAGCAGCTCCTGCCTCGTGCAGCTCCCATTAACCCGTTCACATGAATTCCTGCTGAAACGCGGTGTTTGCCCAATTCCTGCTGCGTTCTGCCTCTTTTTTCTCCCTCCTGATGGTGATGAGTTTTGGAGGATGTTTAATTTCAGTCCATCCCGAAGCAATTTGGCTGCTCTGGCCCCAGTTCAGGAAGCAGATGCAGCCCCAGCATGGGGCCACAGCGGGATTGGGATGGATGGATGGATGGATGGATGGATGGATGGATGGATGGATGATGGATGGATGGATGATGGATGGATGGATGGAACCATGGATGGATGGATGGATGGATGGATGGATGGATGGAACCATGGATGGATGGATGGATGGATGGATGGATGGAACCATGGATGGATGGATGGATGGATGGATGGATGGATGGATGAGGGATGGGTGGATGGATGATGGATGGGGAAACTTGGATCCCACCTGGAGGAAAGTTGCCAGAGCAGAGCTGGCCCCTGGGCTGGGATGTCAGTGCACCCACCTGGGCATTCCCTGGCCAGGCAGAGGCTCCTGCACTGATGTCCCAGGTTCTCCATGGGGTTGTCACACACTGGGACAAGGCTGGGGGTGATGCTGCACCTCTGCTCCAGAGCCAGGCTGGCAGAGCTGGGAATGTTCACCTGGAGAAGAGAAAACTCCAGGGAAATCTTAGAGACCCTTCCAGGGCCTGAAGGGGCTCCAGGAGAGCTGGAGAGGGACTGGGGACAAGGGATGGAGGGACAGGACACAGGGACAGGGAATGGCTCCCACTGCCAGGATGGATGGGATATTGGGAATTAGGAATTGTTCCCTGGGAGGGTGGGCAGGCCCTGGCACAGGTGCCCAGAGCAGCTGTGGCAGCCTCTGGATCCCTGGAATGTCCAAGCCAGTCTGGACACTGGGGCTGGAGCAGCCTGGCACAGTGGAAGGTGTCCCTGCCATGGCAGGGGTGGCACTGGATGGGCTTTAGGATCCCCTCCAAACCAAACCATTGCAGGATTTTGTGCCCCGGGAGAGTTGGCAAAGTGTGGTTACATGCCATGGGAAGGGTTTTGGCAAGGCTGCAGCTCCTCCAGGATGGGGGCACAGCCTGAGCTGCTGAGGTGAGATCACATCTCTGCACGAAGGGTTTCGAGATGCCAAGGAGCTCTGGGAGTGTGGAATCCAGCAGCTGGGAAATGCTCCATGGAGGAAAACTCTTCAAACACAATTTTTTTAATACTTTGGATTTATCAAAATGCCTCATTCTGATTTTAGCTTTTTCCATTTTGAAGAGGGTCCAAGGTCCTATCACAGTGTGTTACCACACAGGGTATAACATTTGCAAGAGCAAAAAGAAAAGTCAGTTTGAACTGGAAAATCATGGCAATGTCATGAAAACAAAGGAAACGGGACATTCTGATGTTGTCAAAACCTTTTTTCTCTGGTTCCTTTCAAAATCAGCTTCCAGCAAAACCAGCAGGGTTTTATGAGGCATTTGAGTTTTTGGCAGAGCCCCTGGCTCTGGCGCAGCAGGTCTGTGGTGGTTCCTCTGGCTGGGCTCAGACACTCTGAGCCCCCATTCCTGGGGGGAAAAGGGGGTGCAATGTGTCCCCCAGCCCTCCCCACCCCTTGGGGGTCCCCATCTGCCCCCCAATTTTCAAGGCATTAAAATAACCTACAAGTCGAGCCCCTACAACATTATTTAAGTGTCAATTATTCATTTTGTGTTTTAACCCCTGCAGTCTTTTTGTTTTATCAGAAATGTATCAAATACTAGAGATTTTTTTAAAAATAAGCAGAAAATGATTATATTTATTTTCCTTACTGAACACCTGGAGTGCCACAGTCAGGCTTTGGGCTCTACTGATGCCTTTGAGGGTACTGGCAATGGCAGGGCTGGTCCCCGTCCCCCCTTTTTTCCCCATCCCAGCTGCAGTTTGGCTTTGGGAAGAGGTTGGTGCCCTCCTGGCCACCCACGGTCCTCTTGGACCCAGGAGGATTTGGCTTTCTGTCCTACCTGGGAGATCCATGTCAGATAACACTGGCAGGCTTTCAAAAGCCTCTCTCCAGCTTCCCTGCCAAGACCTATAGGATGTGTTCCAGAGCATCTCCCAGGAATGTTTGTTATTATGACAGCAAAAAAGAATTTAAAAAGGGAGGAGGTAAAAAAAAAAAAAAAAAAGGGCAGTGAAAGAGGACATTGCTGTTAATCACTAGCAATCCCTTAATAACCAACATTACTATAAATTATCCGTGCATTGTGCTGGGCACAATCGAGGGCTCTGTTGGGGCTGCCCACGCTGGGGCAGGAGCAGGAACAATGTGCTGTTGTTGCAGGGGCTGGGATGGGTGGCACTGCGGGTGGGATGGGGCTGCTCCTGCATACCTGTGCCCGTGGAGATGCTGGGCTGCTCCAGATGCCGTGAAAGCCCCATTGTTCCTGCTGCCATCCTGCACACTCCGTGATTACAGAGCGCTGGGTGAGCACTGCTCGGGATAATAACCTATTCTTAGCTCCTGCAGTGCTATATTTAAGATTTATATATATTTAAATGCTGGTGATTGCACATTGGGGACGTGTTGTAATTCGGGTGACAGCTTGGAAAGACAGTGGTGGGACAAAAAGCATCAGCTGCGTGCAGGGAGGTGAATCCTGGGGTCACGCAGGGCAGGGTGATCCGTGGGCATTTTAAACAAGGGTTGGGACCTCTCTGGAGCAGCCTGGATGGGCAGGGATCCCACCAGGGCTGGAAATCCATCCCTGGAAGTGCCCAAAAGCAGGCTGAACAGGGCTTGGAGCAACCTGGAACAGTGCAAGGTGTTCCTGCCCATGGTAAGGGATGAAACCAAATGAGCTCTAAGGTCCCTTCCAACCCAAACCATTGCATTATTCCAGTTTCTACTTCCATGTCTGAACCTGAATTTATTTTTTTGTAGCCCTTTTGTGCCTTTTCACTGTGAAAAAAAGGCATTTCCCTCCCACAGTGGGGTGTTAGGTGACTTCAGCCCAAACTGTGTGAAACGTGGCTGCACTGTCAGGGGCAGCAGGTCCCTCTCAGGTTTTATGGGAGCTTTTATATCCTTAACCAGGCAAGCTGCACGTTTCCTAAACCCCACCCCAAAATGGCAGGGAAAAGGAGCTTTGCTGCTGGTCCAACAGCTCAGAAGTGACCCCAAAATGGAAAGGTCTATTTACATTCTGTGTTCATATTTGTGCAAACATTGGTGGCACACACCTATGGATTTTAAATGGAGTATTTGATATTGCATTGATCAGGTTTGCTGTTAAAAAAAAAATGGTAGTCTTCATCCAGTAGATTAAAATTATATTCTTGAGTGGATTAGGGCAGGTTTGGGGAAATGCGGACAGAAAAGGCACCCAAAAGATTCCAAGAGAAAAACTATAAACATTCAGGTTGCCCAGGATCTCTTGGTAGAAATAGTTTCATTGATTTGGTTTCGGGTGTTTTTCCCTTAACTGATCAACTGCCGGGGGATTAACTGCCCAGATTAATTTTTGCTCATTAGCGAAGCCTTCAGGCTGGCCCCAAGCTTCTCCTCCAGCAGTTTCCCACCCCAGGCTGGGGGAATTTCCCTCCCCGCATCCCCGGGATGGGAGCGAGGACGGGCAAAGCCGCCCCGCTCCGAGCCCCGGCCCTCGCTGCCCCGGGCGCGCGGGAACGGCTGCTTTACATTAATTAATTAATTAATTTATTTATTTATTTACATTAATTGATATATTATCCGGGCGCGCGGGAACGGCTGCTTTACATTAATTGATTTATTTATTTATTCGGTATTCGGGGCAGGGTCACTGCGATGGGTGCCATCCCCGGGGGGAGCCGCGGGGTGCGACACGAGGCCGCGGCTCCCGGTGGGCCGGGCCGGGCCGGTCCCGGTCCCTGTCCCTGTCCCTGTCCCCCTGTTCATCTCCCTGTTCATCCCACCGCTCATCCCCCTGTTCGCTCCCGTTCGCTCCCCGCTCCCGGCCCCGCGCGGTCTGTTCATCCCACTGTTCATCCCACTGTTCGTTCCCGTTCGCTCCCCGCTCCGGCCCCGCGCGGTCCCGGCGCCGCCGTTCATTCACGGCCACGCCGGGGCGGGAGCGGGGCGGGGCCCGCGCCGAGCGCCGGCCAATGGGAGGCGGTGGCACCTCGCGTCACGCGGCCGCGGGCCAATGGGAGCGCGCCGGGCCTGAACTTTTGCCACGGCGGACAAGTTGATACATCGCGGGGGTGTGTCCGGCGCGCGGCCCGCGGGGGGGGCGCGTTAACCCCCGCGCTGCCGTGACCTACTTTCACCGGCGGCGGCGGCGGCCCCGGGAGCCGCGCACGGACCCGCCGGACCGGGGCCGCGCCCTGCGATGCGGACGAGGGACGCGCTGACAACCGGCCTGCGCTGCGGGCTCTGCTGCTGCTTCTTCGCCCTTCTGATTTAATTTTTTTCCCCCTTTTTTTAATAATTTTTTTTTTTTACTTTTTTTTTTTTTCTTAATACTATTTTTGGCTGAAGGGATCCGACGCCTCCGAGCGGCCCCCGGCGCCGGTTCCCCGCCGGGCGGCACCCCCGCGCCGGGCGCGCTTCCCCGCTCCTCCCCACCTTGTATGGTGGAGCGGCCGCGGGGCGCAGCCGAGCGCTGCCCCGGGCTCCCCCCGGCCCTCGCCCCCGCC